CCGTCAATCTGTCCGAAAACTAAACATTGGCCATAACTTCCTTATTAAATGAAAGATAAGACATGTAAGAAGATAAATATGTGATTTATATAAAAATAAACAGTAACTCCTTGATAAAGAGGGGTTTAACCCATCGAAACGTTGGAGATAGAAAAGTTTGTTCCTTATTAGTAAACGGATTTGATTCATATTTGAACACAACATCCCTTAGCACACGACCTTCCTACGGACCTGTATTTTTTTACCTTGGCCCCTGAATGGCCTTTACCTTGAAGGTCAAATTGTCCAAAAACTTAAAAATAAGTTTACTAATAAGGAAGTTATGGCCAATGTTTAGTTTTCGGACGGATTGACGGACTGACAGACGGACAGTTCAAAACTAATATGCCTCCCTTTGGGGTATGCACAACGTCTTGCAAGGAAATGCTGCTGTGCAAAAACGTTTAAATTGCTTTGGTAGATTGAAAATTATATTTTCACCATCTGAATTACATATTGAAACCATACACGCACTGCGCTTGTCTTGCTCACAACGAGGTTATGGTGCTCACAACGAGGATTAAAGCAAAAAGGGGTATATCTTCGTTTCTATGAAGACTTTCAGATTATAATTTACGCTGAAGACTTGTGGGCATCTGTTTTAGGTTAGAATGCACAAAACGTCACCAGAATCGACGTTTTCAATGTTAAATTAGGTCCAAAGAGAAGTTGTCTCCAGTTTTCCAGCTACCCCGAGTGACTGCGTCGCACGGTATTTCCATCAAATTGTCCACCAACAGGCAATATCTTTACATGTGCATACTCGGAAAACACATCGCTAGCTAACTGCATTCCGATATTTTTATATAAATGTCTGTAATCTTAAAAAAATATGAAAAACTCACCTTGTTTATCGTGTCACACGTCAAAGATGGGTGCTCACAACGAGGAACGGCAGTTGCTCACAACATTTTAACCGATGGACATTTTTCACTCGTTGTGAGTTAAACGGGCGTGAAGTAGTGCTGGCAATACTTTACGACTGTATGCACAAACTGATTTTCGACTTCCTATCCGTATGTACGCAACTGTAATTATCTATTTAATTATTTATCAACCTAAATATAAGCTTTTAGAGATGTTACGTCTTCGAAAATAAGAAGCAGTATGTCACAACCCCTTGGCCAAATGATCTCCTTAAGTATAGAGGGGACCTACATCTGCATACATATAACACTGTATGTAACAACTTATCTGATTGGTCTGCAAATTACAGCTTATCAGAATTTACTTAACAAATGCTTAAAAAGACTTTACATCACTATTCTAAGAAACAAAATCATCATTTTCTTAAAAAAGGATAATATCTATATCTAAGTTCTACAAAGTAGTTAGAGGAATCAAAATGCTAGTAAGAAATTAACGTATTGATAACCATATGTAAGTTAAAGTAAGACCTTTCTCTATATGAGCCGCGTCATGACAAAACCAACATAATGGTTTTGCGACCAGCATGGATCCTGACCAGCCTGCGCATCCGTGCAGTCTGATCAGGATCCATGTTGTTCGCTTACAAACCCTATAACAAGTAGAGAAACTGATAGCGAACAGCATGGATCCTGATCAGACTGCGCGGATTTGCAGGCTGGTCTGGATCCATGCTGGTCGCAAACGCACTATGTTGGTTTTGTCGTGACGCGGCTCATATATTGTTCATATCTTTATAAAAAAAAAAGCTTCAGTTTTAAAATGGACTTAAAAATCAGTGAAACCCTTAATATTTCTTCAAAAATATAGACATGTTTATGAAGATTGTATTATGATATTCTTCTTAATATTGTGATATTTTGCAATATCATCTTAAAATTATATAAACAGTTTTTGTTTGTTTTATTTTTATTTGTTATAAATTTTGTTCGTTAGGTTTTACATCGTTAGTACAACGTGGATGATTGGGAAACACAGTATAGGTCATATGGCGACTTTCCAGCTTTACTGGTGGAGGAAGAACTCAGATGAATCTTCCATGTATTATTTCAGACAAGAATGGGAACCTGACTGTTGTAGTTGGAACCAACGTCATAACATGAATGTCATTGCAGACGTCAAAATATGAAGGTCATTGCAGACGTCACAACATGAAGGTCATTGAAGACGTCATAACATGAAGGTCATTGCAGACGTCATAACATGAAGGTCATTGCAGACGACAATGTTCGCACGGACAAAACGGGTGAAGATGAGCTTGTACTTTTACTTAGAAATGACGCTAATTGTGAACTATGGTATTCCTCTATACTCCGGTATCTTGTTTCTATGGAAACGTGTACATGTATTTGTAACAGTAAAAGGAATTTCAAAATAACGGTGGTAACTTTTATTATACTAAGAAGGAACTTGTATTTTGCACGAACAATAAAATATATCATCCGGTAAATACTTGCAATTGTCTATGGCAAAATACTGCTAAATTTTCAGATTGCCCTTATACACGCCCGGCAAACTGTCGCTCCACTTCAAAATTGTGGTGTACGGTAAAACGAGCGAACGGCATTTCCGAGATAGCACGGAAGGCCGATTTAAACAGAGAATTGTAAGTGTTGTTTTTGTTCATTTTTTGTCTTGTTATTCATTTAAATTGTATTTTTTCGAAAAAACGGAAAAGCCCAGCAGGCACATCAACGTTTATTCAACGTTGAATAAACGTTGAACATCAACGTTGAAATAAGGTTGAAATAAGGTTGAAAATGGAAGTTGATTTCAACGTTGATATCAACTTTTAATAAACGTTGATTCAACGTTAATATCAACGTTTAATAAACGTTTATTCAAATATACATCAACATTTATTTAACGTTGAAGGTTAGTTCTTAACCCTTCAAAAATGATAATATTACTTAAACAATGTTAAAGGTGGTTGAAATATTGTGGGCCAATGTTGAAATAAGGTTGATCAACGTTGAAATGAGGTTGATCAACGTTGAAATTAGGTTGATCAACGTTGAAATGAGGTTGATCAACGTTGAAATAACGTTGAAATGAGGTTGATCAACGCTGAAATGAGGTTGATCAACGTTGAAATTTGTTGAAATGAGGTTGATCAACGTTTAAAATGGTTGATCAACATTAAAAATGGTTGATCAAGGTTGAAATGAGGTTGATCAACGTTGAAATAAGGTTGCTCGACGTTGAAATGAGATGGATCAAGTTGAAATAAGGTTGATAATTGTTGAAATGAGGTTCATCTTGTTGAAAATGACATTATCCATACTCAACAGGTGAGTCAGTGTAGGCTGGCTTACTAACAGTGCTTTTGGGCGGATGGGGCTTGATAAATGTCGAAAATTATGTCAATCAACTTTGAAAATAGTTGAATTGAGATTGATCAATGTTGAGGTTTTTACTGTTGAAGCACCAAACACAACTCATCCAAAAAGAACCAATACATTATCAACATTGCCAAATCTAGCAAAAAACCGGCAGTACTGCCTGATTGAAATAAACAAAAAATGACACTGTAAATGTGAACTGACATTTTAAAACATTATATACATATACATAATATACTGTGCAAGTGTAAATATTAGTAGTGACTTTATGAAAATTTCCAGTGTTAATTTCATCAAAATTAAGTACAATGTACAAAGTTTTTTTTGTTTCTTCTGTTTTTTTTTAATAATTTTATTTTATTTTCTATTTGTGTCACTGATCACTATCACTGTCTTGTAAATGTGCCTGCACATTGCCACTGTCACTTTCTTGTAAATGACTGTTAGTTTCATTTTGCCTGTCTGCTGCTTTCCTGTTCTCCCTTGATAATTTGCCACCCCCTATCCTGTAGGGTGCAAATTTCAGAATGGCCTGCACTTTGTCTTCTAACTTTGACAACGTTATTTTCTCTCGCCACTGCTCTAATACGACATCTGAAATAGTAAGTTTAACTTAGTTCATATTTAAAGCTCAGGCAATGTTCTCGAAACACAACTGACACGTTATAACATCTTAAACAATAATAAATTATACTGATTGAGTTGTCCCAGAATGTACAGCATATACATTTTATGAATTTCAAAGAAAAACATTGATTGGTCAAACTATCTTTCCCCATTGGTAAGTTGCGGCACTACTTTAATACGTTTGATAGAAATGGAAAACCATGAACAATATCTCATGACAAGGTTACAATATAGAATAACCATCTGTGGAGGGACAGAACGCCATCTTATTTATATATAGTGGCTTATGTTGCAAAGTAAATAAAAAAATTCTGCTAAAAAATAATTACTTTCCCTTGGCTGCAAGTCTGTCAACACATTTCATTTGCCAGATCGAGAATCTTGCAAAATTTTGAATTATAGAAGAATATTGTGTAAATTCTTAAGATCAACAAATTGAACAGGTCTATAATTTGTTAAGTTTCAACTCACCTCTCAGAGTGCTATATATATATGAACTTTCAAAGGGGAACTTTTTGTTTTTCCCGTCCTGTTCATCAGAGACTTCAGACCGTTTGTCATGGTTCTAAAAACAGAAAGAAAAATCTTTACATTACCCTTAATCCTGTATCAAACATCCCTGAGGGGGTAACAATTTGCAAAACATGGACTTTCATTTCTGATGAAAAATGAGGACATTTTTACGTATCCATTACAGATAGCTACTTAACATTTAATAATGTAGTTTCATGTACAATGTATTTTCATTAGATTTTCAATACTCACTTCTCCATTATCCTCTTTATGTGCTCGGCAGCAGAGTCCCTCCTATTCTGTTAAATGTGAATTTCTGTATACAGAAACAAAGTTAAATTATTGTTATATTATTTGGATTTATATACAGTTGAGTAACAGTGCAATATATTATTTATCAGAGCTGGATAGTATAACAATTTTAGACCAAGTCAAAAAGGGAAATAATTTTAAATTGCAATTCAGATTTATGGACCTTGATGGTACGAAACTGCACGTTGACACAGAAGACAATTCAAGACATGTTTGAAGTTTAAAGCAATACCTACAGTTGAATAACAGATGTATGGAATTTAAACAAGAGCTATCAAATGACAGCGCACTCGACTATTCAAAGTTCTTGATAGTACAGGATTGCATAAGTCAATATAAAATCAATTATTTGTCAAGCTAAAAAGTAAAAATTATCCTTAACAATAATCATTATGATGATGACACCAGGGTGAGTGTAATAGATCTCCTTATTCTTCGAATATAATCTAGCTGAAAATCAATAGAAAAGTTTGTTTCATACCAGTTTTTCAAGGTTGTCCCCCTCCTCGAGAAACTGTTCAAACTCTTTCAGCTCATCAAATGTTGACAGTTGCTGGATCTGTAATCCCCTGCACTGTTCCACTGTCACCTTCCCAGTACTTTTCACTGAGTCACGTATCTCTGTTAAGAGATACAGGACTTTCCTCTGAAAACCTGAAAATATCATTGATGCAATTCAGTGAAAATCCACTGCTGCCTGTGTGGACATTTTGGTATTAATTTGCTGTCCAGTTGCTCCTTATTTTATAATGTTAGAATGAAGAATTCTGGGAACATTCATTCCATGTTGTCTGCATCATGACTATTAAAATGTTCTAGATGAAATGGAACCATAAATTTAATAGAAATCTGACTTTGAAAACTTTTAAAATCCTCATAGGTCCTGTTCATTAAAATAATTGATATTCCATTTGAAATTTTTTTTGTAAAATACTACATACACTTGGAGATTTTCAAAGTCCTGCTTGTCGTACATGAATTTTAACTTTTCATAATGGGTTAACAAATGGATTTTTCGATCATGGGATGCCTGGAATTACATGGGCCTTGTTGATTATGCAAGTGCGACAACACTCCTTACTTTATAATTATGTTCTTTGTATAGAGGTGTTAAAAATTATAAAGACAAGAAAATGCACTCTACACAGTGCTTTAATACTATGCAACTTACGTCCTTCATCCATGGGAAACAGATCCTTTTTCTTTGACGGGCTTCTTTTCCTGGACCGGCTCCTTTCTTTTTTTTTTGAATGACGCGCTTTTTTGTGTCTTCTCCTTACCTCTTCATCATCGTCGCTACTACTTAGAGAATCCGACTCAGAAATAATTTGTTTGCGTTTGTCTGAAAAATAAAAACTGTATGCTTACCATCTAAAAAATACTCCAAATATTTAGACATGAGCAGCAAATGTCAATTATAAATGACATTGGGAAATATCCGTCAATAATTAACCCTACAATCTCTTCGCTCTAAATCTTCAAAAAACAATAGTATATTAAAAAAAGATGTTCATGTATCTTATCTTGTTTCTAAATTATTACAAATTTATATTATGATAATGTAATTACAGTAAGTTTCATGTTCATGAAAATTTCCAATGAACACAGTTTTTATGCTGCATTACGTATAATGCATACATCATTACATGCAAACTTATTGTATCCCCAAGCTAGAATAAATTACAAATCACCTCGAGATCTCCGCTCCTCAAACTCCTGTATGAGTTGCCGAGCCGTCTTGTTTACTCCAGTCTTCGCTTGTCCACGATTCTCTACCCTGCCATTTGCGTTCTTTTTCCCGGCACTTTGGTTTTCCTTCCTTCCATTTTTGTCCTTTTTCCTCCCACTTTTGTCCTGCTTGCCATGATGTATCTTAATGGGAGGCGAAGGCAGTTCCCTTTTCTCAGTTGGCTTTTTAACCTGGCTCACATCTATAAATAAGTAGAGATATTTAAGCACATTAATTAATTAGCGCAACGCTTGAGCTACACATGTTTTATCATATTCCTATTCAACCTCCTTGCAGGCTCTCAAAAAAAATTAATTATACAGGACACATGATGATTTGCAATGATAAGGAATGAATTTAATAAACATTGGTGATTGGTTGATATAAAATTATATAATTTATATCTGTTTATCACTTGACCCTCTCCTGCTGTGTGTCTGAAGTCAGAATTCCGCTCAGGGCGAATTTTTTTTGTGGGAAAGCAATTCAGTTGGCTTGCGGAACAAGCCAGAATATTTAAATGATTTTTTAATAATTCAATCTGACAAGCTTTTTTTCTTACCCGGCTCTTTAGACTTGTTTTCCTCTTGTTCATCACCTGATTGGATTGGAAGTTCTGGAGGCAAGTTATAGTCCTCTTCTTCATTTGGACCTTTTCGTCTCCTTATACCATCTATGTCTGAGATGAGAATATAAAATAAATGTGTAAATTACAATTTAAATGAGTATCAAGTATTGTGCATATTATTATTTTTTGGGAGTCGTGGCTCAATTTAATTTTGGCTTGTTCATAAATTTTGGTAATAGCTGTAGCAATGATTGTCGATCTTCCATATATAATAATTAAATTGCTAAAACACGAAATGTTAATTCCCAAATCATAACACAATTCTATAGGGTTTTTCATGGCAATATAGCGGAGTCTAAATGTTATTCAATATCAACCGAGGAATCCCAACAATGAACTTGATGTATATATTAAGAAACCAAACTTTAATGTAGTAAAATTGTTATTCAAAGGAACAAATATGAAAACTTAGACTAGTACCTGTGACGAAATCATCCCCCCAAACTTTCTTTGTGTGTTTCCTTTTTCTGGTTTCCTCACTAGAGTCTTCACCTGCAGACTCTACAGTAGTGGTGAAGTCGTACTCTTCACACTCTTTTTACTATCTGTAGACAAAAGCAATGAAAGGATTTTTAGAAATATACATAATAAAATCATATTTAATTTTAAACAAACATATAATATTCAATGTTTCATTGTTCGGGACACATGGTTATAATGGTTATGGATGACTACTAAATCTACATTATGTAACATTGATTCTTTTTTATGTTTTTATAATACATTTTATGTATCAACCTTTGAAAATATATTTTAATTTAACATGTTTAACAAATTTACTACACATCCAGTATCAAAAGTAGTTTTTTGTTAATTATTATATTGTAATGTTCAGCAAATCACACCCTGCCGCAAGTTTTCTGGATTTTAGTCAGGGTTATGAATCTCAGCGAATTGCTAATATGCAGTCCTAAGAATGCAATATTTCACAAAATTCTGAAAAATAGCATAGACAGGAGGCATGATTTTAAGGAATGCTTTCTGAATGCAATTTCACAAGAAGCAGTAATTTGATACAAACCTGACTGAAATTTGACTTTTACTAGGGGAAAAGTATCCCAGTTGCCCTCAGGAGCACACATCTCCGCAATCTTCCTTTCAGTGTTTTACCCCCTAGGCCATCTCACCGAGTTTCCTTGGATCCAAATGGTCGGCAAGACCCCCTCCTCCTCCCTATCGTCCTCCCATACTGCAAGGGACCATAGTGGGCTACCTGTAGCAACTGCTGCGCTGGTCATACTTGGTATACTTCTGTATATATTCAAACATTTAAATTATGTAATCACCATATTCATTTTACAAATAATCACTCATGTCCATGGAGGCACAGGGGGTTGGGGGAGCTTTTGCCAAAATTTCTTAACTTTACACTGGAATTTTGCCAAATTTTGAATACCCCCCTCCCTTAAAAGAAACACCTTACTGGATTTAAATTAAATTATTAATATATGAAATACTACTGCTTCAAACCAAATCATGCATTACCTCCGCTTTGAAGAGTATTCAAATCGGCTAGAATTACTGTTAACTACATTGAAAATGAGGGCCATGGGTTCAATCCCCAGAAGGGTCAACTTTTTTATTCTTTCTTTTTTTCTTTTAACATTATTTATGTATCTCTCATGCCCCATATGGAAAGCAAAAAGTGTTTAATTTTGAATCTTTAATTTATATAGGTATTTATTGGCTAAATTATGCTAAATCTAATAATTAATATGGTACCTGATATTTTCAAAGTGTAATATAATCAAAACTAGACGGTAAAAGTATTTCATATTTTACAAGATCAACCAATATACCTTTTTAAAAATTTAGGGAAACTTTGAAAACAGGCACTCATTTGGGTAAATTTTAAGATTTTTTTGAATTAGGCTCCCTAAGTAGAATCAAAGCACTGAATGTACTGATGGGGAGGCTATGGGAGAATGTTTCAGACTTATAGTGTCTTTTCTTTTTGCTTAAAATATGCTACCAAAATAAAAAGATATGCACATTGCGCTATTTATCCTTACTGTTGTGTTCAACCATTCATATATATGGTTAATGTGGTTGACTATTCATTTTGTTAATATTCCAGAACATTTCATTGAGGTCTACATTCGGACTGTTAATCATACAAATTTTGAAAAACCTAAACTGTCAATAATAAATGACATACCAGCAAGTATGACGACTGTTCATTATCAGATAACAATAACATTTTACAACTGACGGTTCCTTATCAAAATCACAGGAACTTGAAATTCTATCAAATAACCAATATTAATTATAATATCCAAATATACCCCCTATATACTATAAAAAAACACAAACACAGGAACTTGAAATTCTATCAAATAACCAATATTAATTATAATATCCAAATATACCCCCTATATACTATAAATTTTTTTTATAGTATATAGGGGGTATATTTGGATATTATAATTAATATTGGTTATTTGATAGAATTTCAAGTTCCTGTGTCAAAATATTCTAGGACTGTTCATCATAAATTCTTTATGTCATTTTAATATTATTAGTTAGAGGAATCAAAATGCTAGTAAGAAATTAACGTATTGATAACCATATGTAAGTTAAAGTAAGACCTTTCTCTATATGAGCCGCGTCATGACAAAACCAACATAATGGTTTTGCGACCAGCATGGATCCAGACCAGCCTGCGCATCCGTGCAGTCTGATCAGGATCCATGTTGTTCGCTTACAAACCCTATAACAAGTAGAGAAACTGATAGCGAACAGCATGGATCCTGATCAGACTGCGCGGATGTGCAGGCTGGTCTGGATCCATGCTGGTCGCAAACGCACTATGTTGGTTTTGTCGTGACGCGGCTCATATATTGTTCATATCTTTATAAAAAAAAGCTTCAGTTTTAAAATGGACTTAAAAATCAGTGAAACCCTTAATATTTCTTCAAAAATATAGACATGTTTATGAAGATTGTATTATGATATTCTTCTTAATATTGTGATATTTTGCAATATCATCTTAAAATTATATAAACAGTTTTTGTTTGTTTTATTTTTATTTGTTATAAATTTTGTTCGTTAGGTTTTACATCGTTAGTACAACGTGGATGATTGGGAAACACAGTATAGGTCATATGGCGACTTTCCAGCTTTACTGGTGGAGGAAGAACTCAGATGAACCTTCCATGTATTATTTCAGACAAGAATGGGAACCTGACTGTTGTAGTTGGAACCAACGTCATAACATGAATGTCATTGCAGACGTCAAAATATGAAGGTCATTGCAGACGTCACAACATGAAGGTCATTGAAGACGTCATAACATGAAGGTCATTGCAGACGTCATAACATGAAGGTCATTGCAGACGACAATGTTCGCACGGACAAAGCGGGTGAAGATGAGCTTGTACTTTTACTTAGAAATGACGCTAATTGTGAACTATGGTATTCCTCTATACTCCGGTATCTTGTTTCTATGGAAACGTGTACATGTATTTGTAACAGTAAAAGGAATTTCAAAATAACGGTGGTAACTTTTATTATACTAAGAAGGAACTTGTATTTTGCACGAACAATAAAATATATCATCCGGTAAATACTTGCAATTGTCTATGGCAAAATACTGCTAAATTTTCAGATTGCCCTTATACACGCCCGGCAAACTGTCGCTCCACTTCAAAATTGTGGTGTACGGTAAAACGAGCGAACGGCATTTCCGAGATAGCGCGGAAGGCCGATTTAAACAGAGAATTGTAAGTGTTGTTTTTGTTCATTTTTTGTCTTGTTATTCATTTAAATTGTATTTTTTTCGAAAAAACGGAAAAGCCCAGCAGGCACATCAACGTTTATTCAACGTTGAATAAACGTTGAACATCAACGTTGAAATAAGGTTGAAATAAGGTTGAAAATGGAAGTTGATTTCAACGTTGATATCAACGTTTAATAAACGTTGATTCAACGTTAATATCAACGTTTAATAAACGTTTATTCAAATATACATCAACATGTATTTAACGTTGAAGGTTAGTTCTTAACCCTTCAAAACTGATAATATTACTTAAACAATGTTAAAGGTGGTTGAAATATTGTGGGCCAATGTTGAAATAAGGTTGATCAAACGTTTGAAATGAGGTTGATCAACGTTGAAAATTAGGTTGATCAACGTTGAAATGAGGTTGATCAACGTTGAAATAACGTTGAAATGAGGTTGATCAACGCTGAAATGAGGTTGATCAAT